CCACCGGCCGCGCGCACACCAGCCGCCCGCCGCCCAGCCGCGGGTCTGAGTTCTTCCGGGCCAGGGCGGCGCCAAAGGGCCACCTCCTCCCCCCACCCAGAGTCATTGAACCGATTCCCTCCCCAGCTCCGGGTTCCCAGAGTCAGCCAAGAAGCAAATGCCTTTAGGAATGTGCCAAGGCAGGTGGACCAGACGACAACCCGGGGGAGGGGAGAGAGGCCCCACTCTCTCCAGGAGGTGGGGGTGCCGATGAGGCCCCTCCAGGAGCTGACATTTCAGCGATACCCTCAAGGCCCCTGAGGAGCCATTTGTGGGGAAATGCGCGAAAAGTGAGACCCAGTGAAGGTCAGTGGGTCAGTGCAAAGGTCCGGGGGTCAGACTGACCTAGGCGGGCTCTTGGAAGAAGAATAGCAACATTAACATTACATCGCTGATCTGCTGAAACACTTGCTGCTCCCCGCACTGTCCTAAGGGCTGGAGGGTGCTGGTGGAAGGGACCAAAGGGTGGAAGTGGAAACACAAATTGCTGGGTTTGCCTAAGGGCACTAGGGAGCTACAACAGAGTTCAGAGCAGGAGAGAGACCAACCCAATTTCTTAAAGGTTTCTCTCGCAGCCAGGTGGGGCAAAGAGAGAGGGGAGGCAGCAAAGAGGCAGGTTGATGCTCCGCACAGAGATGGTGGAGACTGGGGGGCTGGGCGGTGGGTTGAGACAGGTAGATTCTAAATGGATTTGCCACTAGATACAATGTGGAGGTCCTATGCCAGACAAGATGGCCCTGTGTCTCCAGCCTGAGTCCTTCCCTGGGAGGAGGACCAGGGAGGACCACCAGCAGCTGAGTTTTGTATAAGGTGAGTTTTGAGCGGTGTCCAGGGGAGGTGTCAGGTGGGTGGCTGGACAGAAGGTCTGGAGTCCTAGGTCCTCGGCGGAGGTGGAGCTGAGGTGGAGATCCTCAGTCCAGAAGAGTCTGGGCAAAGGCACATGGGAGCAGGCACTGGCTGAGGGGGAGAGGCACGGGAGGTGGGGGGTCCCTGCTGGATGCTTCAGTCCAACTTGAGTTCTTCAGGCTTCAGGATTCACCATGGGCGGCAGAGGGCCAAGACCACCATCCCAGGTCCTTATACGATGCTGCAGCCAAGAGGTGCAGTACAGTGGGGCAGAAGTCCATTCTTCCAAACGCTTTCCTCTAATGTCGTTGTAAGGTGCCAGCGAGTC